CATCCCGGAATCCACAACATTATCTCTGGAATCAAAACAATTAGTGATGACCGGCCATGAGAGAAGAATGCGACTTTATTATGTAATTGAAGCCGTCGCCTCAAGAGCACCCCCACAAAGGGGGTAAGCAACAGTTGGTCTCCATAGCCTAATCGGTAAGACAGCTGCTCCGGTCAGGTAGAAATGTATGTATTCTTTACTTCTGATCCTGGCTGTTTGCTCGAGATCGTAGAATGACTGCCTAGTAGTTATGATAAAATAATATGAAGCACATACGATTAATAACAGCGTGGTTTTGTTATTCTAATTCAGGGTCCGGCAACATTTTAGAGAGAGTGGGCCAGAAAGTTATACAGTGTCTCAGAAGAGAGTCATGATATCAAATGTACTATAATTGTCTCATCTTAGCCCGCTCCGTCTAGAAGGCTGCCTTGGTCTTGAGGTTTAAGGAAAAAAAAAACAACGAAGAAAATGCAAATTCCTTACTACAAACGAAATACAACAGTAAATTATTTAATAAGACTTCTTTCTGCTTATTGTTCGATAACCTCTTCATATTGGGTGAAATATTTGTCGATGACAGCGGCAAAACATCATCCAGGTGGTCATCACCCAACCTTGTTCTTAAACGGCTTTTAGTATATTTCATTTTTGAAAATGGTTGTTCAAAAGCGTATGTACTTCCAAATAATGTTAACATCATTTTTTGCATTATTTAGTAAACTTTAGTTCCGCTTGGCAAAACATATTTCTTACAGAAGTCACCAGTGGATTCGGGATTAAAATTTTGATTTAAAAAAACTCGTTGCATTGTAAATCGATATTTTCCTGTCACTTGCTCTGCAAATTAATTAGATAATTCGTATCCAGGTGTTAAGCTGGCGAGCCGGGAGTTGCCAGTCCCTGCTCTAAATTTGTGCTTTATTCTTCTCAAAAAGTGATTGGCATACAAGGATGATTTCGTGGCCCCAAATCAAAAGCCAGACAAATGAGTTATATGCCAGTCTGAGTCTCTTAGAATTACATTATCAAATTCAATCCTAGTCTTATTAGCAGATTTTTGGACATATTAATAACAACGGCCCCATTTGGGGGGGGGGCACTAACGGGTGTTTAGTAGAATTAATACCAGAATTTTACGGTGGACATGAATGGGTTAAAGTTGGTGGGCAGGTAGTTGAATGGATAACGACTGGGCTTGACAAATCGGAGAGCAGAGTTCGAATTGCAATCGAGTTCGTTACATTCAATTGTGCGCCAATACTCGTGGAGAAGCTACGAGTGCATCTCTTCCACAGCTATGGATTAAACAGTGGAGTAGACGGGACTATTCAGCCTTGGTTGGCAACCAGTCTAAGAGAAGGCCAATTCTGAATTCAGAATTCGGTATTAATGAGCTAAAGTGCAAAAGTTCGAACGGAATAAAGATGAATAAGAATCTTCTTTGGTGTGTTTAGCTTGCCACGAGGCCAACATTTTTTGAGTGATTTTAGAACTTTTAAGCAATGGTCGTGATCGAAGATTGCGAATGACTTTTTTCTACTGGGCCAATGTGTTTATATTTAATAGAGGCTTTGATTTATATTTAATGGGATCATTTATTTAATAGGTACTTTATTTTATTTATAATAGGGACTTTTATTTATTTTTAATGAGATCTCATTAAAAATAAATAAATGTCCCATAAAATAAAAGTAAACTTTAATTACTCTTTGTTTATTTTTATTGGGGATTTTTTAAATCTATTTTAACGCTTTTTAATTAAAATTTAATGAGGGCTTTTTATTTATCTTTAATCTGGTCTTATGTTTTTTAACGCTTCTACTTTTATTTTTAATCATTTTTTTTATTTTTAATGGGAAGCTTTACCTATTTTAATGGTTTTTAATTTATTTTTAATGGAATCCTTTATTTATAATAATGCGTCTTAGGACGAACTTACTTTGGAAAACAACAAATTCATTTTTGAAAAAGGAATATCAAGTACATTCATTCTTTTAATATTAACCCTTTTTAAGCCTGAATTTATTCCAGAATTTGACTCATTTTAAGTCAGATTTATATTCAGTTTGTGAGCTAGCTACATAAGTTAACCCTTCCAAGGCATGCATATTCTGGTAAGGTTGTGCTCAGGCTATACGGCAGCGACATTTTTAATCATGAATGCCTGATTTCGGTCGTTTCCATGGAAAACGAATGCAATAAGATATCCATATCCAGGCCTTGCTTGTCCAGCCCGCGTGAGTAAATGAATATATGCAAAAGTCCTTGGAAACATCATTTGGACCGTGTTAAAGAAATCTTCGAAGTTTTCTTAGCTTTTTTCGGCTAGTACAGTTAGTTAAATATACTGCCGAAGAAACATTCTAAATTTAGAAAGATTGGCTCTTAATGAACTCACCGAGAAGCATATTAGCTAAGGTTTAAATATTTCTCTTTCTATTCTTGCCTGACACATAAAACAATCATTCTTTGAACAAGATAGCCATTGGCTTTAAAATATGGATTCACTACGGGAATCGAGAATGAAGAATATTGTGTCTAGATCTGGGGAAGTGTTCAACATTTCAACCTAGAAAGGAGGCAGTTGAAGAAATATATCTTTAGTGTGTTTACTGGAATTCAAAGGGAATTTTTTTTTGGTAAATACTGCCGAGGCCTTGGCTACTTACTACTGAGAGTAATTTGTTTAAATGACACATTCACAATCATAATCCCGTAATCCATTAATGTTATCAATGTACTGCAGGTGCGGCACCAGTGGGTGTGTTCAAAAATGATAGCCCGACAGGGATCACCTCTCCTCAGGCAAGTTTAGTTTTCTTGCCCCCAGGCCTGATGTCACGTAATACAAGATAGTCCAATTTGATACTTTATTTGTGAAGGATTGAATTCAGAGTTTTCCTTCTCCTAGACTGGTTGCCCTGCAAGACAAATGAGCCCAATCTACCCTAATATTTACGAGAGATTGAATCAAGTTTTCTTTTTGCAAGGTTCGCTGCCACTGAATACAGGGAACTCCAGTCAGTCTAATTATTTACGTGGGGATATTAATTTCTTTATTTCTCTGTATTAGATGGAGTAATGAATAGCGGCTCGGATTGAGGAATCGGAGAGCCGAGTTCGAATTCCAGTCGAATCCATTACATTCACTTACGTGCTAATAACCTTGGGAAAGGTATGAATCCTCTTCTTCTCCCTCCAGATATGGGTAAATAGCAGAACAGACCTGGTTCTATAGCCTTGGATGGCAACTGGCCTACCACAGAAAGAAATGGCAACCTACCGCGGGAAAAAATCTGTCTCGTCAGTCATGTATCGAAAGATACATGATCGCCTGTGTGTATCACGCACGGCACATAACTGAATTTCTCTGTGATTACCTACCACTCAAAAACAATGTGCCGTATTAATTACGTGGTTTTGAATTAAGATCTTTCCTTCTGGTTGCCATTCAACTGGAGAAAGAAAAATTCATATTTTTGTTCAAGGGCATTAGTTAAAGTCAGCGAGACAGGCTAGGCTGGAATTTGAACTCGGATCGCCGATTCTACTTCTGTCTTAGCCCCTGAGTCAAAACTCGCAAATAATTGGGATGTAATGTTCCACGGTAGACATAAAAAATAGTTACAAAAAATATATGCATTATACTTAGCAGGGAAAGAGTATGATTTCATGCCTTCACTTTATCGCCAGAATTCTTTCTTTGTGTCCCAGTCTATCCAAATAAGACAACAAATTGCAAAATACGACGCAAGTGGTTACCCACCGTTCAACCGGTGGCTAGGCATTAAGTCAATTTTCTTTACCACCGGTAAAGCGGTGGTCAGGGCTCAAAGGATTAAAAATCTAACCAACCCTGATCTCTGATGTGTTTTCATTTATCTTGACCCTAATCTTATTATTGTGCCTCACTTTTCACTTTAAAAGAATGTTTAATGACTAAATGAATGACCAGTTATCGTATTTGATGCTAATATAGATTTTTACGTTTTTATTCCGAAAATAAAAAAAATAATTATTAGAAAATACACCGAAATGAAGCAAATGCAAAAATTTAAGTACCTGGGAAAAGTTTTAACAGAAGATGAAGATGTGGCACTGAAATCCGAAGGCACATTGTAACACGAATATTCCCTCCCCAAAGTATTGAGGAAGAGAAAAATTTTGCTAGAAACAAAGAAAAATGCACTTGTATACATTGGATTGGTGCATAATTATCGGGCGTTTTGTAGGTGAGTTATTTGTTAATAACAATTGTTGTTTTGCTTACTTTTTTAAATAAAAATATGTTATTTTCAGGTTATAAAAATGCGTATCGATAATCATACGCTTCGGAATAATCATTTAAAA